AGGAATAAGAAGATGAGAAGAAATATAACCTGGAGATGGTTCTCTTGCTCTGTCAAGAAATGTGCAATACTGAGTTGGAATATGTTGAATGCTGAAACGTTTAGAAAAGGAGAAGATGTGACTAATTTTTTCCCAGCGATCTCTCAAGATTTCATGCGCAAAATTGAAGAATTTCTTGCCATCTCCTTCATTAACAACTCTCAGAATAGTTAAAGCTCTCAATAGTGTATCTTTAGATATCTCCATATCAGCCTGATGAATATATTCCTTCATTCGATTATACACATTCACGTCCTTCACAACAGCCCACCTACACAAATGCATGTGGATCAGAGGCGACGAATCTCGGATTTTAATTCTATGGATTCATGACTCGGATTTCAATAACTGAATCCATCACCTCATTTAAGTTATGGTTTCATAGTTCAAATATAACAATTTCAGTGAATTTTACACAAATAAATCAAGGTCCAGACAAAATATTTGTAATACTCATTCCATATTGCTTCTGTTGTATTAGTATAAGATTTCATACAAAAAAGGGCAAAGGGCTAGTGCACGAAACATCCCGCGTTTATGCAGGGTCCGGGGAAGGCCACACCCAAAGAGGGTGTGATGTAGACAACCTACCCTGATTCAAGCACTAGTGGCTGATTCCACGGCTCAAACCCGTGATCTATAGGTCATACAAAAAGCAATTTAGATTAAATGTTGGTATATTACCCGAGTCTGGTTCCAGCATGACCAGTTAGCTTAGACAAGGAGAAAATCATGAGATCATCATCAGCAGGAGCTGGAATTGCTGTGAACTGAGGCCAATAATAGACCCTATCAAAAATGTACTTCACATTTGGGCCGCCTTTCAGAACTGGACCTTCTAAATTCCCTTCGGGATTGCTAGGTGAAGTCACAAACTCAAACACATCTCCACCAATATCAGAGTTGTTCAACAATGATGGATCTCCTATAAATTCATAATGTCGCGTTTGCAAGTAGTCCGTTTGAAGCTTATAGAACTGACAAAACCAAAACCAAAACCAACTTAGTATTCAAAACTCAAGGATAATGTAAAACTTTGTCATAGGGTAATGGAGAAGAAGGTACAAACCGGATAATGAGGAGGTTTCGCGAAAAATTTTGCAGGGTAAGGAGAGGAAGAATAATTCTCCATAGAAAGAGAATGAACTACAGCATTGAGTAGGCGACTAGCGCCTACACCAATAGCGATGTATCTTCCATCTGTAATAGCGTTCTTGGCATTTGAATGTAACTTCCTAATGGTTTTCTCGAGCTCCTGGGAAAGGTGAGAAGTTGGATCAGGAAAGGAATAGGCCATTCTATGCCAACCTGCTATCACTACTGCACTGCTTTCTGCATTTTCCATCCAGAATGGCTCATAGAATAGAGGATCCCAACTACATTAACGAGTTAAAAAGACTTGTTACTAGTGGTAGCGGCAAAAACAGGGTTTTAATTAAAGGGATTCAAAATACAAAGAAAGTAAACACATAAAGAAGTCTGCCTACATACTATCCTATCTAAACCCAGAATCCACTTGGTTGTTGTTGTTGTTGTACAAAGAAGTCAAGGACATATACTACATATGAATAAAAGATAATTTTGGCCAATTGGCCTAATATATTTTCCGACAAGAGTGGGTTGCTCTAGTAGTGAGCACCGAGTCACCCCAAGATCAAGGTAGGAGTTCTTGGAGGGAGGGAGCCGAGGATCTATCGGAAATAGCCTCTCTACCTCAGGGTAGGGGTAAGTTCTGCGTACAAACTACCCTCCCTAAATCCCATTAGTGAAATTATAGTGGGTTGTTATTGTTGTATTGTTGGCCTAATATATTTTCCAGCAAAGGCGGTTCGGATGAATCTCCTTCCGCGCCCTTAGCTCTGCCTATGCTTGTTACAAAGAAACCAAAACAATTACCCGAAAGCATTAGCAGAACAGTTGGGAATAAGTAAAGAGCAATCAGGTCCAGTATAACAGGTATAGCATTCACAAGTAGGAATTCCATCTACGACAAGGCTATCAAGATAGGCTTTTCCATGGCCTGAGCATGAAATTGAGGCTACTGCTTCTGCTTCCTCTGCTGCTCTCTGGCTCCAACTCAGCTTCTTCTTCTCCTGCTCTCTGCATTTGCTCTTTGACTCCAACTCTTTCATAAAAAAGAATATATTCATGATTAATAGTATTAAAACCAAGAGATACATGACATAGTTACACCTCTGAATCTTTGCCATAATCTCTGGTCTGGGTTTCCTTTCTTCTTTGAAATGTTTGTGACTCTGTAGCAAAAGAGTAGTATATTTGTTGGGAAATAGTATCCCACATGGAAATATTAATATCAACGGTAACTAATAAGAATACGGCAAAGGGCATATAAGAATGTACTTTCAATCTAAGAATATCCTTCGTTATACTATTGGGCTATATATACCTTTCCTGTCATACTTTGGAACAAATATACCCTTATTTTGGATGGAGTGCCACGTGTCAGCACAAGATGAAAACGACTCATTTCATTTTTTTATCCGATTCGTTTTAAAAAATTCACAACCCGACCCGCTTTAAAATTCAGTTTTTTTAAAGCATATATTTTGTAAAAACTAGATTTTTTTTTGTAAAAACTAAAATAAAAAAAAAAGAATTTGCAAAATATATATTTTTAAGTCTTTTTAGTTTTTTTAAAGTATTTTTTTTTTGTAAAAATTGAAAAAAAATATTTTTTTAAAAAACTGAAAAAAAAACTCTCCAAAAACAGTAGACTACACATGCATTAGTTTTTAAAAAATGAAAATATTTTGCAAAATCTTTTTTTTTTCAATTTTTACAAAAAATGACTTTAAAAAATTGAAAAAACTGAACGTGAAAAATATAATATATGAGTGGAAGAATATAATAGTATTATAATAAGAAATTTTCCACTTGCAAGAGACTACTACACAAAGTCTGGAGAGACTATTACACATTCAAAAATAACAACTCTTTTTATTTTATACAGCTCACATATGATACAATAATACTCAACACTCTTTAACCTTTTCTTGACAGACTGTTTTCTTCACTGTCTGTGAACTGCTACTCTATTATTTTCTTCTCACTCCTTTTTTTGGGGTACTGAAATGAAACAAACAAGGATCTTATTTATAACAGTGAATGTAATGATCCAGAAAAGAAAATATAAAAAAAAAATTAGCTTTTGCTATATGGAATTATCGAACACAAAAAAGGAAGCCCCACCCCAGAAACACAATGCTGCAAATATTATAGTAAGATTTAGGAAAGTGTATTTCCTAGGAAAAAAACAAAAATAGGAAAGTGTATTTGGTTTTGGTTACATATAAATATGGATCTACGGCCATGATTTGAGATGTACAGATTTAGAAATGTAGTGTAATGATCATTGTGGGCTCCACTCCATTTCTTACAAAATTAATGTGATGCAGTCTTACGGCTGGACTCCATTCCTAAAAGACAAGGGTGTTTGAATTGACTTTTTAAGTTTGTCAAATAAATTTTTAAGTTTTTTTTTTGTTATATCATTGTTTGGTAAAGTTAAAAATTATTTAAAATAAATGAAAAATTGTTTAAAACAAACTAAAAAGGATAAGTTAGGCAACCCAATTTATTGCTTTTTGACATAAAAACTATTTTTTTAAAAAAAATTATTTTTTTCAAGCCAATACAAACTGACCCAACTAATGCCCAGTCACAATCAACGTGTCCCTTTACCAGGTTCATCACCAAGTCTTGTTACGTTTGTGCAAAATCTGTTGCCACCACTCAATCATTATCTTCCCTTTTTTATTTATTTTGATTGGGTGGATCCCACAATATAACGTCAACCACAATTAATCGTTGGATTTACAAACAATAAAAAAAGAAAAAGAAAAAACATTTAAAATGCTAACATAAGAGCCCTCATTTTCGCTTAGAAATTCAATAAAATAATGAGAGGTTACAGTAGAGTAATTAAAAATTTTCTATTGAAGTTGTGAACAATACGAAAATTATCGATTACTCACTTTTACTTTAATGGTTCCTATGATCGAAACTACATTGTTCCTTTACCACCTTTCGGCTTACATGATAAAAAGCAGTAATTAAGTTTGGGCCACGATAATCACATGGTATTCAGGACCAAAAATAGATGGGTTCCTACCAATAATTTTATTTCATTTTCTTCTTTAAAACAAAATATCCAACAAGACCCTTTTCTCTCCTCCCCCTTGTTCTTTCCCAATTCATCGACCAAATTTACACCAAAATCAAGGTAATGTCCATCTTTTCTTTTCTTTTTCTGTATTACATTACGTTTTTGCACTGGTTTTTGTGATTAAGTTGTGACAAAATGAGAGAATGATTTTGAAGATTTCATTCTTTGTAAATACAATAAAAATGTGTTTAGTCACCGTACATACCTAGGATTATATACAAAAGAAATGAATCTAGGACTACATGCTATATTACCAAGTGGCAATGTCCTATTAGCTAGTATAAAGTTGTACATAAAATAAATACAAGGAACAAAGAAATAATTAAAATACATGGTGTAATGTGCTGAGCACTATGGGAATATTTTGGAACAATGTAGTAATAAAAATAAATAATTAAAATACATGGTGTAATGTGCTGAGCACTATAGGAATATTCTGGAACAATGTAGTAATTGTACTTTATAATTAGAAAATCCTAGACATTTTTGTGCAAACCTTCATCTCTCCAACACTCCTCCTCCCCCTCCNACGATGAAAAGGTCATGTGAGTGGTTTTGTGAAGAGATCTGCCAACTGGGCAGAAGATCGAACAAAAGATAATGAAATTAGCCCTGGTAGATATTGTTCTCGCACAAAATGACAATTGATTTCAACATGCTTCGTCCGTTCATGAAAAACGGGATTTTTCGCTATGTGAATTGCTGTTTGGCTGTCGAAGTGAAGGGTGACTGGAAGAGAAATAGGAATTGACAGATCTTCAAAAAGACGAACCAATCATGTAAGCTCTGCGATCACTCGCCTCATAGATCTGTATTCTGCCTCGGCCGAACTAAGTGAGATTGAAGTTTGCTTCTTGGATTTCCAAGAGATCGGAGAGGTGCCGAGGGAAATGTAAAAACTACTCACCGACTTCCTCGAGTCCGGGCAGGTTGCCCAATCAGAATCACAAAAGGCTAGGACATTGAATGATGAGGAAGAAGACATAAAGATCCCAACCCCATGATCTTTAAGCAAATAGCGAAGCACACGGAATACTGCATCTAGGTGTGGCTGTCTTGGGTCCTGCATATACTGGCTGAGGTGCTGGACCGTGAAGGACAAGTCTGGTCGGGTGTGAGTGAGGTAGTTAAGTTTTCCAAGGAGATGACGATACAAGGTGGGACCCTTTACCGGTTTCCCTATTTGAGTAGACAGACGAGTAGATGAATCAAATGGAGAAGAAACATGTGGCAAATAGAGGGAGTCAAATTCTTGGAGAAGGTCTAAAGTGAATTTACGCTGAGAAAGGATGAGTCAATCAGTTTCTCGGATAACTTCCATCCCTAGAAAAAAATGTATGTCCCCAAGATCTTTAATTCTGAATTCTTGATTGAGAAATTCTTTCAATGCATGTAATTCTGCACTGTCATTTCCTGTCAAGAGTATATCATCCACATAGATAACCACTATAGAAATGTAAGAATTTAACTTTTTAAAGAACAGGGAATAGTCATTTAACGAGTGAGTGAATCCCTTAAAGTTCAAAGCAGCTGTAAGTTTTGCATACCACTGTCGAGATGCTTGTCATAGCCCATAAAGCGATTTCGTTAACTTGCATGCATGAGTATGTGAAGGAGGTACAATCCCAGATGGAAATTTCATGTACACTTCTTCATTTAGGTCTCCATGTAGGAAATCGTTATTCACATCTAGTTGGTATACACCCTATCCTTTCGTTACTGCAGTGGCCAATATGTATCTGATTGTGATCATTTTCACCACGGGTGAAAAAGTTTCATTGAAGTTTATGCCCTCTTTCTGTATGTCTCCTCTAATGACTAATCTTTCATTTAGTCTTTCCACACTACCATCTGAATGTTGTTTAACCTTTTAAACTCATTTGCATGGTAAAGCTTTCCTCCCAGGTAGTAATTCAACCACTCCCCAAGTCTTATTAAGTTCAAGAGCCTCAATTTCTTTGTCCATTGTTTCTTTCCACCTTGGGTGATGTGCTGCCTGTAAATAGTTGAGAGGTTCTTGTATATTGGACAGTGTATTTAGCATGTGTTGTTTAGTAGAAGATAGTTCACTGAAAGATATACAAGTGGGTGTAACAGGTGTGAGAAAGCAAGAGTTGCTAACATCTGTGAGTTGGAGTGCATTACAGATATAATCCTTGAGATAAGATAGAGTTGTGTGTGGTCTGGTAGACTTCCTAATAAGAACATCCATCATAGGATCAGAATTTAGAGAAGAAAAAGCAGGTAAAGATGTATGTGATTGACTAGATAATACTGGAGAATCTGGAAAGAACTTAGAAGAAGAGCTAGAGGAAATATGTGTGCTAGGATGAATTGAAGAAATATGAGAAGAACATAAATCAATTGATGATTCAGTAGGCTCTTGGGAAACTTCAGTATGAGGTCTGGTAGCAAAGGGTGAAACTTCAGGATTCTGATTACTTAGACTAACTTTAGCAGTGGGTAAAGAAACATCAGAAGAAGAATTAGACTTAATAGAAGCAAATGGAAAGAATTCTTCATGAAATACAACATCTCTAGAAATGAAGGGCTTTAAATTTTTGAGCTTCAACACTTTGTAACCCTTCTTTTCATGAGGATAACCTAAGAACACACAAGGAGTAGCCCTTGGTTCAAACTTAGTTCTATGATTTGAGAGAGTAGAAGCAAAAGACAAACACCCAAAGTATATAAGGTTAGAGTAATTTGGCTTGCTTTTAAAGAGAACTTCATAAGGAGTTTTAAATTTTAAAACACTTAAAGGAAACCTGTTGATCAAATAGGTTGCTGTAAGAAGGCAGTCACCCCAGTGTGATACAGGTAGGTGTGATTGGTATAACAAGGCTCTAGATGTCTCTAATAGATGCTTGTGCTTTCTCTCCACGACTTCATTTTGTTGTGGGGTGGACACACAAGTGGTTTGATGAATAATACCTTGTGACTAAAAAAATTCTGATTGAATGTTCAAAGGCATTATCTGACCTTATAATTTTGACCTTGCTGTTAAATTGCCTTTCTACCATGGCTAGAAAGCCTTTTAGAATAGTGAATACATTGGATTTGTTGGTTAGTAGATAAGTCCATGTCCCTCTACTGAAATCATCAGCAATTGTAAGAAAATACTTAAAACCATCATATGTAGCACCATTGTATGGTCCCCAGGTATCCACATGAATTAATTCAAACACTTTCTTGCTAGAAATAGAACTAGAGGGAAAAGGAAATTTGGATTGCCTTGCCATAGGAAAAAATAACACATGGAGTGGAAAATTTAGAACAGTTGGATATAAAAACTGATGAAACATTTTTCATATTGCTAAGGGGCATATGGCCTAATCTGTAGTGCCACAACTTTTCCTTTACACTTGAATCAGAAAAACTAAAATACGATCGTAAACCATGATTGGAAACAGAATTCCTTCTTGGAATAAAAACTCTTCTAAACTTAGGTGAAATCTTAGACACTATTGATGCATGTCTGGATCTGAGAATGTAGAAGCCTCTTTCCTCTTTACCAATCTCCATTGGGCTCTTCATTGAAGGGCCTTGCAGAAGGAAACATGAAGAGGGAGTGAATTTAAACATATTGCTTGAGTTATCTACACAACTTGTGCACAGATAATAGATTATATTTAAAAGGATGGAATGTAAAGAACATTTCGCAGAATCAGATTAGGCACAAGAGAAACAGTTCCTGAATGAGTGACTTTAACTCTGGAAGAGTTTGGGAGTTTAACCATGAGAGGTTCAGGCAAGATTTTCAAATCTATGAAAGATTGTTTGTTGAAAGACATATGTTCTGTTGCTCCACTATCCAATATCCAAGAATCATCATTGATTTGAATTAAACAGGCAAAATAGTCAAAGAAATTGGTTATACCAGCACAACTCACATTTGCTGCAACATCAGAGGTTCCTGCACTGTTTTGTCCCATTTTCACTTGCTGAAGGAGCTGCAGCAGTTCAACCACATTCTTCTTGGTAAGATTATGACCTCATGTTGCATTTTCTTCTCCCTGTTCACTTTCCTCATTTGAAAAGAAAACGTTGTTTCCCTGGGCACCTCCCTGAAACCTTTTCTGCTTTGTAAACTTGAAATCTGCTGGAAACCCATGAATCCTATAGCACTTGTCTATGCCATGTCCAGGCTTCTTCCAATAGTAACAAATTTCTGTATTTTTCTTAGATTCAAAACTTGTTTTCTGCATCCCGTTCTCATTAAATTTCCTGAAGTTTCCTGGTTGGTTTGTAACAATGAATGAGGCATATTCCTATGAGTATGAAGGGGTAGCATGTATCTCCATCTGTTTCTCATCTTGAATCACAAGAAAGTATGCATGTCCAATAGAAGGTAAAGGTGATGACAACAAAATGTTGCTCCTTACCCCAATAAATATGTCATTCAGTCCCACTAGGAACTGCAGTAGTCTCTCATCTTGGTGTGCTTTAAAGCTTTTGACTTTTGCTCCACACTCACACTCACAAACACAAGCAGAAAATATGTTGGGTACATCTAGTTTATCCCATAGGCTCTTCATTTTGGTGAAGTAAGTTGCCACACTTGAATTTCCTTGCACCACTGAACTTAGCTGCTTTTGTAGTTGGAATAACTTTGCTCCATTTGCTTGACTAAATCTGTCTTCCAGGTCACTTCATAAATTATTTGTACTCTATGAATAGAGAACACTCTCAGCAATCTCTTTGGACAAGGAGTTGAGCAGCCATGAAAGTACCATGTCATTGCATCTAGCCCAAACTTGCTGGATTTAAGAATCAGCCTTAGGGACAACCAGGGTACCATCGATAAATCACATCTTGTTCTTTGCAGACAAGGCAATAATGACTGCCCTTCTCCAACCTTCGTATCCTTTTCCATCAAAAGCTGAGGACACAAGGTTCATCCCTGGATAGTCAGAAGGATGAAGGTAGTAAGGGTGGGTAGAGTCAATCACTCCTGAACTAATGGTAACTGAAGGTGCATGAGCATTGGTGGTGGTAGTAACAGAAGCTAGAGTATCAACTGACTGTGGCGAAGAACCCATAGCAGACAAGCTTAAGAGAAGAAAGAAAATGAAGAAGGAAAGCTGATTTATGACTCAGAAAGCAGAAAATGATAGCAGAATCAAACCTGCTCCGAAACCATGACAAAATGAGAGAATGATTTTGAAGATTTCCTTATTTGTATATACAATAAAAATGTGTGTTTAGTCACTGTACATACCTAGGATTATATACAAAATGAATGAATGTAGGGCTATATGCTATATTATCAAATGGCAATGTCCTATTAGCTAGTATAAAGTTGTACATAAAATAAATACAAGAAAAGAAAGAAATAATTAAAATACATGGTGTAATGTGCTGAGCACTATGTGATAATCAATTAAAATATATGGTGTAATGTGCTTAGCACTATGGGAATATTCGGGAATAATGTAGTAATGGGAATAAATAATTAAAATACATGGTGTAATGTGCTGCGCACTATAGGAAATAATCTACAAGAGGTACGACGTGGCTCTTGGCCAGATTCACCCTTTATTCTGGAGAATAGTGATTCTCCGTAAACAAAATCGATGGGTGATCCTTCACCCTGGATCGCCTTATGCATCTCTACAGTCCCCGACTCTATCAAGGGGGGCTAATCAAGCTTGCTCGTTGGGCTAGTAAGGCCCATTTCTCGAGTATAGATGAGGCTTGAGACCGAGGTTGGATGGGCCATTTTGTTCTAATAAAGACTTTAGATTTGATCCCTGCCGAGCACATGCCATTTCTCGAGAAATAGAGCGTGAAACGTAAGTATTACTTTGCCTTAAAAATTTAATCTATTGTTTCTCCTCTTATCTCTTTTTATGGGTGTTTTTGGTGTTGTAGCTGTGGCCTAGATGCCGGATGTGGTTCCTCAACTCAAGGAATAGGTCGAGGACCTTGTGTCACAGAGACCATACTCCGAGCGTGCTTGGATTAAATTATCGAAGGGTCGGTGGGAGGACCGTAATCATGGTAAGTTTCCTTTTCTGGTTCGATAAGGTTTTGACTTTCTCCTTGTGTTGTCGAATTCTTATCGGCTATATTTGTTTTTGTAGGTCTCCCCGAGCATGTTGCTATGAGGCCTCCATCCGAGGGTGAGGATGTGCCTCCCGAGTCCCCTACACCGAAGCAAGGTGACGAGAAAAAGAGGAAAAAGGCCCCGAGCTCTCTCAACTCAGAGAAGAAAAAACTAAAGAAAGGGCTGACGCGTAAAGCTAAGGAATATACCAGCGCTCTCCCATCGGACTCGATCCGCCGACTGAGGGATGAGTTCGAAGAAGAAGAAGATAACTCCGAGCTAGTGGCTCGGGTGCAGATCGCTTTGCCTCGAACTGAGGAGGCTGTTGAGAAGGCATTGGCCGGTACCTGCGAACCGGAACGGGGTGCGGCTGCTTTGCCCCAGGCTAGGGAGGTCGAGAGAGAGACCGGGGCCGACACTTCTCGGGTAGAGGGAGGTTTCCCGAGGGACGAGCTTGGGGAGATCGACCTTACCGGGTCCTCTCAGATCTCAGACGCCAGGATACGCGAGGCCAGTATGCTAGAAGGTCGTTCTTACGAGGGGCCTCAGGGGGCGACTGATATCCACAACTTCTTGGAAGATGTCACCGGGCTTGGTGACTTACTGGTACCAAGGAAGGTACCATCGTCGAGTGCCAGTGGGTCTTCATCGAGCCTAAAGCTGGTGGATCGATTCCCGACCCTAAGTGTTAACCCTGACCGCAGACAGTCGATAGTTAACTCTATTTCGAAGGGTGCCCGGGTTTTCTCGGCCCCCCGTGGGGGTTGCTATCTACCTTAATTGCTTAGTGACCAAAGAGGACCAAACTGTGATGGACGTGGTGGAAGAGCCTTGCCTATTCAATGAGGCCCAACACGCTTTGAATCGGGTAACTTCGAGTGTCACTCCATTATTTATTTTAAATATGAAGTTGTAAATAATCCTAAAACTTTTCTTTACTCTTACAGGCCTCGGTATTGCACCATGAGGCTTTTCTTCAAATCTGGGAAGAGTTAACCCAACACGAGGCTGAGGTTCAGGAGCTCACCGAGAAGAGGGATACTTATAAGCTTCTAAGTGAAAAGCTTCAGACCGAGTTAGAAGCGGCTCGGAAGGAGCATCGGGTAACTTCGAGTGTCACTCCATTATTTATTTTAAATATGAAGTTGTAAATAATCCTAAAACTTTTCTTTACTCTTACAGGCCTCGGTATTGCACCATGAGGCTTTTCTTCAAATCTGGGAAGAGTTAACCCAACACGAGGCTGAGGTTCAGGAGCTCACCGAGAAGAGGGATACTTATAAGCTTCTAAGTGAAAAGCTTCAGACCGAGTTAGAAGCGGCTCGGAAGGAGCATACCGAGTGGGCCAAATAGGTAAATCGAGCACTTGAAGATAGTGACGACGAACTTGACTCAGTGGCTAAAGATCTGATCCCATAGGTTCGACAAAGGCTTGAAACAATCGGGCAACTCCAGGCGCAAGTAGACGCGGTACAAACTGAGGCCGAGGAGTTCAAGAAAAACATGGACCTCATAGCCTCGCAAAAGGAAGTTGCCTAAGCACAACTGGCGTCGGCTGACACTCAGCTTCGGGATGCAAAGGAGAAGACCTTGGTGCAGGACAAGAGGATCGAGGAGCTCCAATCTAAGCTTAACTCAGCTATTTCTAGCCAAGAGAGCCTGGCCACGGAGCTCGAGGCGGCCAAATCTGAGGTGGTCGTGGCCAATACCAAGGCCGATGCTAAAGTGGCCCAATTCAAGGTTGACTTCGAGGCTATCCAGGCACATGTCAAGAGCATGGTGGATCATATAAGGTGCAAAGCTCGAAGGGAAGCCCTTGAGGGAGTCCATGCTCAGGGTTTTGACATTCTGGCGGAAATCGAGAATGCCAAGGTAGAAAAAGCCAGGGCTCGGAAGCTGGCTTTTCCCGAGGAAGGCTCCGAGAGCTTAACTGAATCTGAAGGTGGGGAAGACCCCGAGGATGAAGACGCTGCCTCCGATGAGGACCAAGCAACCTAGGACACTTAGGCCTTTAGATGTTTTTATTTTTGTTTTTTGCATCTTTTTGAAGCCGCTTTGGTCATTGTACATTTCTATATCGGGCCATTCTGGCCTTCGTAAAAAGATTATATATACAAGGCTTTCTTTACCCTTTGGCTTTCAATTTTTCCTTTACTTTATTACTTGTATTCATAAGGGTCGAAACGCCTTAACATAAAGTAATTTTGGTTGTGTTCTAAAGTTCAAACAACCCTTGCCTTTGCCCTACTTTATTTTAAGGCGTCTTGGGGGTTCGGTGTTACCGGAACCTTTTCCCTAAGTAAGTAGTTGAGATTGTAGTTTGCCGAGGGTAGCCTTTAGAACCGATTATGAAAAAGTTTCTTTTTCAAAGGCATAGTTTTTGTTAAGGGTTTCGGACGTCTCCGAGCCGTGTTAATTTGGCCGTAGCCTTTTAGTTCGGGAGCTGCCCATTAGACTTATTTTCCCGAGCAATCCAGGCTTGCCTAATATAATAGTCCCCGAGTGGGGTGGCCGTGGCCTTTAAAAATGAGGAGTTGCCTAATAGGTCTTATGCCCTCGAGGCCTAGTAACTTGGAAGGCAACTCTTTAAGGGATGTAAAGAGGAAAATTTTTAAAACATAAGATGATTGCAAGGAAAGTACTTCTCTTTATTCTTGTGCAAAGCAGTCATACATGCGTACATGTTTTATGTCAGGGCTCGAGTAATCTATGTGGTCACGGTTCGTTTGACCGTTTGGCCCTTCCAATAAATCCTACCTATCGAGACCCTTCCTTTACGAAGTAATTTTCTCGCTAAAGTTGATATCCGAAGGTAATGCATATTCAAGGGTAGTACCCCCAGTATTCAAGGTTGATTGTAGAGGGACCTCAGATATTGTTGAATTA